TGTGCTCCTTGTGTGTTAGTCAGCTACCTCTAAATTTGCAGTATTAGCTAGTTAGGTAAAAGGGTGGTATCACATTTCCCGGTTTTTAATTTCGAATGAACCATTTATTTCCTGCAATAGTTTCGTTTTCGAATTTATAAAAAGATTAAAGCTTTAAAAATTTGATAACAATGGGAATTTTGCCTTCTTTGAGCGTTCATTGCGTTGTTATATTATTTTTGTTTTTATCTTTTATGTTCGTTTGCTGATTGTTATTTTTTAATTTGATATTTGAATAAAGAAGGCAATATTCCCATGAGCAAAATTTTGAATCAAGTATTTAATATATCCGTTTTGAATGCACATGATTTTATACTTTCATATAAATAACCGATTTTGGGATATGAAAGTTCAGGAAATGTGATACCATCCTGAGAATCGTTTTTAATCAGCTAGGAGCTAGGAAAGGAGCACATATGTGATTGGCTGGGTTTGTGGCGGGAGTTTAAAGGTACTGGATTCTTTGTTCAGTACTTTTAACGGGGCTTATCACATATGTGCTCCATTATTCTTGAAACACAGGATAGAGTCGACTTCAGGTCAGAAAAAGTTGGTAGTTTGAGTGAAGCTGTATTTAGTAGAAAAGAGCTAGGACAGGAACAAGAATTTATAAGCAGGAAATGTAGGCCCACATTTGAGATGTTCTGCAACTTTTACTGTTTTCAATTAAAATTTTACTTGTGTATTATTAATAGAATATAAATTAATGTAATATTTTCAAGTTGAAAAAAAAACAATCCCATCCCATATTTTGTTGGACGTAAAGTGTTCAGTTCAGTGTTAAAATTTGATGGTGTCGCTTAATTTTGTTGAATTAAGTGTTTAAGGCTTCAAAAGATCCTGTTGACAAATGAATTATTCAAATAGTATTGCCTAACTAAAGCTAACCAAGACACCATTGTGGAATGCTCTTCGGCAGGGGAACTATGCCATTAGCGCGAAGCATTTTTAAACCACTGATGCTGGCGCCAACTAGTATTGTTTTTACAATTTGGTCATCACTTGATTCAAAAGGATCAGATCCGCCGTTAGCACAAGTTGGGTAATGTCGTTTTCGTTTTTGCGGTGCTACACCGGTGCTACACTGCCGTACACCAAAATGATTTAAGGTGTGGATATAGGATGTACCTTTGTTTAAAACAAATGATGTTGAGCTGTCAAAGACTCGCGCTTATTCCTGCTTACACTACACCGGTGCTACACCGCAAAAACGAAAACGACATAAGTGTATCAGTTTTAGTGTTCCCCTAATTGACCCTGTTGAGGTGTCAATTTCGGTTCATTGTGTGATCGCATCTTGCTGGATAAAATTATAAAATGGTTTGTCGCTATATTCAGTTCAGATCTCCTAACAATCTGAAGCTACCCATCAGTTTCAGTTAATTAAAAAAAAATAGAATGCAATTAGTTACAGCTTATTGTCAAAACTTTCAACAAAATCACTTGAGTTTAAAGTGAAAGTTCAAGAAATCCATCCACTTCGCGTTTTCATTGGCCCTAATATCGCCATCCAGAAGTCATACATACCTATCTGAAAATTGAATGAACTTGCTTCTCTGCATGTAGATTAATTTTGGATTTTGTCCATTAAGTAGATTGCCTTATGTGTGCCAATGAAAATGCGAAGTGGTTAAACAATCTGTATGGAAAGAATTCCATCAATTGTGTGCTTAACGTTAAAAATTGAGTTACTAGATTTATTTGGCAATGAATTAATCTGCGAGTAATTAACGTAGCTCATCCGTGAAGAAAAGGATAGACGAAGGTCTGAGGTCAAACCTTTCAAACAAATAACTATACCCAGATTGGGGATGTACGTATCACCTGTTGCGCGATAATAGTAAATAAAGACGTACCTTCGTTAAACACGATCCCGATTACATGAGTGGTGCTGCAACATTGTTCTGACGGCTTGAATTCGGAGGTTTTGGATCAGCTTCAAATATTTGTTGCGGTGATATCCGAAGTGGACCTGACTTCCCCGATTCCGCAGCAGGTTTAGCAAATGCTTCCCGTATCGCTACCTGTAATTGAAGAAAAATAATTAGCAGTTTATTCAAAAAACAACTCGTTCAGAAAACTACCACGTATTTTTCTTGCTTCGGTGTTCCACAAATTGATGCCGAAAGAGTTATTCTCTATGACCAATCCTATTGCTACAAGTTGGAGTTCGCTTGAAGTCCTATTAAGGGAATGCTAATTCGCATTGAACTTGAAGAACATTTTCACCTTCGCTCGTTCGAGCAATGCATCGCGAGACGAGATGCATTTCGTCAACCAAAGAAATTGAACGGCACTTCATTCCGCCATAAGCTTCAAAATTCGTTGGTATGTAGAAGTCAGCTTCTTCTTCTTATTCTTCATGCTTCTTTATGGACTAGTGGCTAACGACTAAATGACCAGGCCGCTACTTTCTTGATCAGCAGCTGTCAATTCTACCGATTGAAATTAACAAAGCCTACTTCGATCTGTCTTATGTTTTGAAATTATCGTTTCATCGCGGTGGAGAAGGAAAGTACCAACCACATAGAATGAGTTGAAATATGCGTCCAATGCTAGTGTGCATCGAAAATAATGGTGCACAGTGCAGGGAGCTACTCTCCTTTTGGCTAGAGTGCTAGACTGACACTGGTTCCTCACCCACATTTGCCATGGTAAAGGGACATTTGTGCATAATTGTGTTGCTTGTATGGTGTTGCGGGATTTTTCGTGCCTTGATCGGTTTGAATCAAGCTTGCAAATGCTCATTACAGCTAAAATGCTATTATTCGGATTTATGAAGCTATGAGATATTTTAATGACAATTCTTATTTACAAGATGTAATAAAAGAAGGTAAAGTGTGTGTATGACACAATAAACCTGTCAATTTAGCTTTCAGAGGGTCACAATAGCGATTAGCTGTAACGATGAGCAACGCGATGAGCGAGCAATCAGCGATCATAAAATCGTTAGTTGTGACCTTCTGAAAGCAAAATTGACAAATTTTATGTGTCATACACAAACTTTACCACCTCTTCTCGCTTCTTACAAATAAAAATTATCATTATAGTATCCCATAGTTTCATAATTACGTAAACTAGCATTTTAGCTGTAATGAGCAATTGTAAGCCTGGTTTGAATACAACAGTGGTTTGATGGAAGCATAGCGCAAGCTCCCAGTGAACGGTTTTGAAATCTAATTGAGTTCGGGAGTCGGGTCATCTTTGAAAACGAATTATATTTGTAGTGCAACGGAAAGCTTGATCGAGAGTATTAAAATAGCTTCAAAGACATGAAAAGGCATGCCCGTTGAAGATTTATGTAATTAGGGGAAATGGATGTAAATGCCCCTAATTTGGACCCATACATAAATTCAGCAATCGACTAAATTTTCAATAGCGACCAAAAATATTCATTAGAACCGTCCCAATGACGTGTTCATCTAGATAAAATTGATAAATAGCATTAGAGCTATTTCCCGTATATTATAATTCAAGACCAACAATTGAAATGACCTCAACTCCATTTTGTAAACAAACCTTGTAAGGTCATTTTCTCGCAAACCGAAACCTACATTCACAAACCTAAACCACAATCGGGTAGAGGAGAATTCCCCCTATCTGTTCATTCTGTTGGTTTCCCTTGGCGGACTTCGGTTTGCGAGAAAATGGCCTTACAAGGTTTGTTTACAAAATGGAGTTGAGGCCTTTTCAATTGTTGGTCTTGAATTAGTTTCCACCCAGCCATCGTCATATCGTATATCATATCAGACAAACAAACATATCACTACCATAGTTTTCATCGAATACGTATTTAACGGTCAATATATGTTTTTCGTACTTGGTAGAATCACTGCTTGAGGCGCTCATAATCAATTCCCTTGCGTTTGACTTATACGCACAACCCACCATCGGTTGTGCACTTTACCCATGATAGTGTACTCAACAGATGACGAAAGTGGTTTAGTGACGATGTTTTACAGTGAAAAATATTCAAAGCGTTATGTCTGGTTGTCTTTGCATAAATTTGTTGAAAAAAAAAATTGATTGAAATTTTACATATTAATACAAGATAAATGTGGTTGAGAAATTATGATTATTTTCTCAAGATCAAAGAGATCAAAAAGCAATTCGTTTAATATAGTGGCGTTACGTGACTGGGGTACATTTGGGGTGGGTTATACTGGTGTCACTCCTTTTAATCAAGACATTTTTAAATTTTTTGCAATACGCATTTATAATCTTGCGAAATATCTGGTTTTGATGTACAAAAGTTTTTTTTTCATTGATTCGTTGATAGTGAGCTACCGAGAAATGTTCTTCGAAGCTTTAAGTGGAAGCCCAAGAATCTCCCAGGAGAAGTTAGAAGATTATGGCGGTCGGACATCCAAGAAGTCAAAAGAAACTTCGCAATTTTTATTATTTTTGTTGTAAAAGTATAAGTTCACAATTGAAACCACATTATCGACTCCAGTGTCATTCCTCTAAAAGTGACACTCGGGGTGAATCCCCTCTCGCCCCACCAGGCGCCGCTGATTTAACATAACATTGTTATCTCAATCCCTCAACCCTTTAAGTGATGATCGAATTAAGTAGTCATGTGCAAAATTAGTTATTTCTTATTCCTAAACGTGAAACATTATTGTTAAATGCGAAGTTTATTAACAAAAAGTAGAAACCGTCAAAACGAAATTATAATCAACAAACACATTGCAAACTACTGAATAGTGCAAGTTAAAGGAAACTAGTCTTTTTATGTTATCAAGCATATGAAGTGCAGTAAAAACAAACAATCTGTCTACAAAATCTCAAGTTTCATGTGTTCATGCTTTTTAAGAACGTTATGTCACTTAAACCTGTCTTCCGGCGATTTACACATTTCCATGAACCGTCTTGGGAAAAGGAGTTGGAATCGTTAGAAAAATCTCATTGCATACTACTGAAATGTTTAGTAACTTAAAGTGTCGGAATTGAAAAATTACCTCCGTCTTGCTTCCTCTTCTTCAATTCGATGCTCCAAGTCTATAAAAGTCTGATAATACTCATCATTTAGTTTGCTTATCCGAAATGACTTAACTGATGTCGGGCTTCTGTAATGAGAAATTCTTTTAACACCTGTGCTTAGGAATTACTCACGCATTATTTTTTAACAAACCTCACGCCAAGAACTTCAATGGGAACACTTTCCATTTCAGCCAGAAAGAAATTTTTCAGCTTCTCTCCAGAGAGACGTGCTTTCTCGACATCGAATGCCGTCTTCCGGCGGACAAGATCCATGTCAGTCTCCAGCTCTTGCTTCATATCGGCAGTTATTCGTTCGTCCAAAATAAAATCCTCCATTGCGTATCGCTGCGACTCAGGCAAAGCTTGATTCCTGGCTAGAATCTTTTCAAACTGTTTTCGATATTCCGCTACGGTGTCGAGGATTTCATTTTTCTTGTCGTTCAGCAGGTTTGCCTTTCTATCATTTTCTTGTTTGATTTTCTGCTGTTCTAGCGATAGGAAGGCAGGGTCATCGATATCGTCAACGTAGGGTACTACCATTTCGAGGGATTTCGTTTCAATAGCCTCAATTGCACCCGTCTCGCCGTACCATTTGTAGGCGAAAAGATTGCCATCCGTGCCGATGCTAAAGAGATAGCGGTAGTCGTAGCTAAATGCTAAGCCTGTTACCTTTCCACTGAGGTTATAATGCATGTTCAGGGCCCAGAATTCATTCAAATCACGGAAGTCTCCTTTGGTACGGTTCACTCGAATAGATCCATCTCCCATGCCAAATATTAAGTATTTATGGCTGTAATGAAAGTAATTCATAGCCGTTAACATTAATTTGTAGTGCCAATGGAAGCAATACTTACTCATGTATATAGCACATTATCTCGGTGTCTTCTGCTCCGGAAACTGGTGTGCATGAAATCGGATCCTCATCATCGAATCCGTATTCGTAGACGAATCCAGCGTCGTATCCACCCATTGACAGCCAAAGAGTATTCTCGTTCGTATACTGGACCCACAGCACGGCATTTGGAACTTTGGGGATAAACAATGGTTCCAATTCTTCCTCATCTTCAGAATCCTCCAAGAATGCGTTCTCGTCTATTTCTACTCCAGGATTCTCAGCTCGAATTCTTTCCAAGCTCTTCATTTTTCTGGCATGCTTTTGCTGTTTTCGCTCTTCAATTTTCGCAATTCTTATATTTCTCTTAATCTCCGACTTGACGGATTGGAAGGTTAACTGTCTAATATCGAAGTTTTTCAGATGATACGATATGTCGGTGTATGACGTAGGTTCTACGGGAAGCTCAGCCTCCAGCACGTGCCCATGACGACAACCAATAAGTACGGTGGCGCGAGTGTTTGGTTTCCAATTAATAGTAGAAACTGCTGACGGAGTGTAAACCAGACCGATGGGCTCTATTGCTATGTGAGGATTTCCTTTGATAAGTTGATGTACGAAGGCTGATTTATCTTCAGATCCTGACACGAGTACAGTCTCTTGCGCATTGATGGAAAATACAGTGATGGCTTCCGAATGGGATTTCACGATTTGAACCAGATTGAGGTGTGGCTCGGAATCCAAGTTAACCATCATTATCCGGATCAATCCATCTTCAAATCCTAGAGCCAGAACCATTCCTGTAGGATCAAGAGTTACAGGAAGCCAAAGCATGGCGCGACCACTTGAGCTGAATCGATAGTCAAATAACATTTTCCGTTGCAAATAATCGTACATGAACAATCTTCCATCGCTGCCCAGGGTGGCCACGTGATGTGTGGTTGGACTAGCTTGAACAGCCATTATTGGTCCTGAGTGACACTTGAGAAGTTGCTGGGGCTCAGCCGGTTTGTAGGCAGGCGTTATATCGCACATCCAAATTCCGCCATTTCCATCTTGAGCGTACCACTGAAAATCTCCTTCTTTCTTGATAAGACACATCAGTTCGCTATGAAGGGACTCATTGCCAATCCTGTACTCCATAATTGGTTCTATCTGCACTACACGGTCATCATCCGGGGGATCAGCCAGCTCTACCGTCTCCCAAAACCAGATCCTAATGAATCCATCCATTCCGCACGTCATGACTTCAGCGTCGCGGACACTAATCTGCGTGATGGGACCTTGATGGCACGGTTTTCGTCCTTTGCGACAAACTTCTATTTTGATCAGGCCACTTTCCCAAACCAGAACGTTGCCCCACTGGCACCCGGAGAGAACTTTTTCATCGGGCATCGGTAGGATGCCGATTATGTCGGAGATTTCGGTTTTTCCAAAACGCCCAAGCTCGCCTTGAAGCTTCAGACCGGTAAATGTTTCCGCCATTTTCCAGAATTTTATGTGGCCCAGACCTGAGGAAATAGATTTGGTTTCTAGGTTTTTGTCGGTTTTTAGGTATGAGAAAAGGTGGAAGCAGTGAAATCATGGAAAATTTAGAACTGGATACCCACTAGGAATTACCTTTTACGCCCTATAAGGAAATATTGAACAAAATTGTTTTTTTTCAATAACTGGTCATAAGTTCTAACCACCATGACGACGTCACTGGGTGGAAGATGCTGAACACCATTATGAAAGTGGGGATTTGTGAATCATTCTAAAAAAATCCTTCATCTCATAAAGGCTAAGTTAGGTGTCAATTCAAATGGGATGCATTTTTTGGTGTGTAGATAGGCTCGATTCCACTACAGCGATAACAATGGATTACGCATTCGAATTCGAGTTGTAAAGTCGGATATATAGTTTTCCTCTACTTCTGTTTTGTTTTTTTTCATAATCAATGAATGTACAGCAAAATCATCGAGATCCCGTTTATTTTCACAAGAATACCTAACTTCTTTGTTAACTACTAAGCCATGTCTAGGGTCTAGTAAAAAAAATACTGAATATCATTCAGTGTTTGTGAAATGACGTAGAAAAAACCATATGTTAGAATATGTCATTGAAAAATTATTATTTATGTTGTAAAGATCACATGAAAATCAATTAACATACATTATCTTTTCAAGTCCAACTAAGCAGTTTTGGACAGTATAAGTTCCTTATAAGATTTCAAGAGACACATGTGGCAATCCTTTGTAGGATCTTTTATTGCCAACCGAAGGGGAAAGCTTCCCCTACACCGTTTGAAAAATTCGTGTAAATTTCTGCGAGATATAGCGCACATAAAATTAACGCTAGATTTGGCATAAATTTACGCGATATTTCATGTTAATTTAAGCGCAATATCGCATAAATTATCAATATTGTATGCAAGCTTGTAAACGATTTCGCTGTTTATGTCAAGTATAGCTCAAAATTAAACGAAGGGAGATTTTACGCGATAGTTAAAATTCAGAATTTTTTTCTGTGTGCCCGATTCCACCCGATTGAAGATATATCACGCTTACCACTACACCACCGGCGCCGCTGATTCCCTAAGATTACTCCCTTCGGAATGCTGGCAAACAATTAAATCAATTCCTGTTACAAGTCTTCAGTAATCTATTGGAATTAATTTTAGAATTCTTAAAAAAATCCTTTTCAGAATTATCTTGAAACTGTGGTTCAAATTCCCTTGAAATGGAATATATAGGAAGACAGGGTAAGAACGCCCGGCTGGGTAAGAGAGACTACAGCCAGTTCTTTATGAAATCCTCAAGATTCTGACCAATAGTCAATACAGAAAAGATTACCAACACGTTTTTATCATTCTGAAACACTTTGCTGCCCCCGAGCTTATGAAGCTTCAAAACAATCAATAAAAGCAAACTTCTCGTTCGGTGGGGCTTTCTCAACCTTTTTTGAAAGGAACAAATATAAGACTTTTTGATGAACAAACCATGTTTTCTGACGTTTGTTGGTAACTTTTCCCTTCATTAGGCTGTACTATTTCTGTGACTGTAGATAAAGGTATGTAAAAATACATGGAACATGTGAAAATATACCATATTGTGAAAAATGTAAACCAGGCGTAAGACGGACTACTTTTAACGAGGTAACAGCGTCACCCTTCTTTATCGCGTAGTGAATTTGATTGAAACTGAAATGATGTTTTTTTCCAGATCAAGTGACATTAATTTCTCTTAGCTTTAACTAAGAATACATTCCTGGATTCATCCATCTATGGTGAATCTATGGTGAATCCATCTATGTAAATCTTACTAATTTACATTCCGACAGTAAAATAAATTTTGTTTTGCTCCCGGGTGGTATCCGGAACATGTCCGTGAGTGGCCAATGTGGGCCACCGTACTCAATTTACCTGCCAATGACTATTTTTAGAGTTCTCATGTCAACTTCATAGTCCTAACTACCAAAGAATTCAAAGATATTTTTTTCAGAATTGCCATGGAATTCTCATTGAAATTCCTTAAGAATACTGTCCAGAACTTCCTAGAAATTCTGTTCATACGCCTTTGAAATAATCCCAATGCTCATTGAAATTTTTTATAAAAATCTTTGTGTAAGTTCATTCATGAAAAATACCCAGCCCTAAATTTAAGAGTTAATCGAAATTTGTTTTACATTTATAGTCAACTCTCCCTCACTCGATATTCTGTAACTCGATATGTTTGCTATCTCAATGATTTTCAAAGTCTCTTCAGTTTTGCAGGCATCGCCCTCTCCCAAACTCAATTTAATTTTTTGCCATCCTAAGTCCATTATGATAATAAAATTAATAATTGTTTTGTGGCAATTTTAGATAAAACAGTAGCACTTAATGACCATAGAGCCATAATCGATCTTTATAAATTGGTTTATCAAGAAAACTGAAGAAATGTTCTAAAATATGGTGCAGAGTATAGGCTGGAAACTTGCTTAAAAATCTTGTTTATTTTGCCTCTCTTTTAATAAAACAATAAAACAATGCTTTGCCTCTCTTTTAATAAAATAACAAAAATTACTGTTGATAGTAATTTTCAACATTTTAGACTATTTTAAAATGTCATTTGTGATGTTCTACAACGAGATGTTTTTTTTCTCCATGATTTATATTAAAATACAAAACAATTTATTCTCCGAAATTGCAGCTGTTAGACTAACCCATTTATATTTAGACGCAGTGGAAGAGAAACACGTTGATGTTGTTATATTAAAGATTGTTATTGGTGAGAAAAGAAACAGTTTTTATTTTTTTACAACGCATATTATTTGAATACATTGAATATTTTGGGTGAATCGTTAGAATTAGAGAATATGTTTACTGAAATTTGGTTGGTCTTTCAAATCGGAAGGGGTCGAGAAAAAATGGACATGTTGCTTGTGATTAATGTTGACGATGACAGAAAAAATAGGCAAACATACTTTTGAACATAAAAACCAATAAATGATCCATAAAATATTGGAAAACGTTCCATAAAAAACATCCAAATGTTCCATAAAATTTCGGAGAAAATCCTTAAAAAAGTGTGAATGATCCATAAAAAATATCAATATGATCCATATTTAATGTAAAATTTAGCAACACAATTGTAAAAATGTACCGCTAAATTTCTAAGGAATGAGCATTGAAATTGTACGAATTACCCATAAACATATTGCAATTGATCCATAATACATTCAGCAGTGAACCTTAAACTAAAGAAAGTGATCCATAGAAAATCATGTTTGCGCACTTAAAAATAAAGCCATGTTCGTATTAATGAAAGCAACTTCCTCAGAGCAGTCTCGTTTTGGACAGTTTGAAGCTGAAATAGGTTTTATTAAACTAATATAAAATCAAAACCAATCTTAATGCTTATAAGGTGGCAAAAGGAACCAAGAAGTCTGTCTCAAATAAACCACCTAGCAGAAATAATAGAGTGAGGAGTGATGCCGCAACCGAATCTGGAAAAGGCAGTACCAATATGGTCAGCCTGGAAGAATCCCTAGACCAGTTGCTGCAGGAGAAAAGAGCAAATAAGAAAGCGCTGGAGGAAGAGAAATTTCTCTATGAAAAGCGATAGGAGGCTGAGCGGGAGATTTTCAAACCGAGAGTTATCTTCCGTCACTCTTTCAACAAAGATTTGGCTAGATTTAGCAATTTAATTATTATTTTAGCTAAGCACGCAAACGATGTAGAATGAGCTACTTACTAGTTACTTAGGGTAAATCATGTATATAGCGTTTAGGAACAAATTGTAGGTTACCAGATTTTAGGATCAAACTGTAGTATCTAGATTAAGCAAATATAGGGTTATTAAATTCAATATTTGCACGCATTCCACCTCCAACTAACCTACTTCAGTAGCTACTTAGAGGTAACTTTAAGACCAGAAGGTCCCAAAGAAATGTGCTCAACTTTTTGGCTAAGCTCTGGTACTATCATCGGTCCCAAGCTTATCGATGCACCCCTATAAAACACGAGAAAATCCACGAACCCCTCATTTTACCTGTCAAACTTTCATAGCGAATCAAAACAAACATTGTGTAGTACTATAATTTTGACTAGAATGAGGTACGTTAATCGATTTGCTTGGGACCAATAGGCTAGTCAAGTAGTGAGCCAATTTAAAATCGTTAGTTTCGTATTGATTGTTGGTAGCTAGTTCACTACAAATAACTACAATTTAATTAAACGATAGCTATATTAACAAATTTAGGCAATTAAAATAATTTAGCTGTAAAACGTTTTTTAAATGGTTTGGAATTGTATCTTCTTTTCCTCTTTTTTTCTCGTTCATACTTCGACCTATCTAAGGTTTGGTTCAACGGAACTGTGAGTTCACAGTTCCGTTGAACCAAACCTGACGTCTGTCATTTCTGACAGCGACCGTTACCGTAGCTCTCTGAATCCCCCACAGGGTTGTCACTGGACTTGGCGGTACAGGGTTATCCCGATATTCCGAACAGCCATGATCCATAAATTAGACGTATATTATTCACGTTTTGGACACTGTATTATTAATTTTGATCCATAAACCATGAAAAATTGCTCCATTACTGCTTAACTACTTAGATTTACTGTCCTGCCGTTTTTTTAGGTAGATGTGCGGAGCGATGATCAAGCGTCTAGAATTAGCTTCCAAAAGAAGCTTCTATAATAATCTTCTTAAGAAAAAATGAAAAAAAATGTTAATTTTATGGATCATACCTAGGGTAGGTGTTCCAGTTGTTGGTAGACGTGCTTATTTTGGTGTGTTCCAATTATAGTCTATATCTCGGTCTATATACATATGTTTTTTTAATTTGATCAATAAACCTTGGAAAATTGCTACATTACTGCGTAGCTACTCAGATTTACTGTTCTGCCCGTGTTTTTTTTTGTCAGAAGAGCAGAACGATGGGTGAGCGTCTTGAATAAGCTTCTTAAAAAGTTTCTAAATGAAGCTTCTATAGGAAACGTCTTAAGAATATTATTATAGAATCTTCTTTTGGAAGCTAATTCTAG